CTCCTAACTCTGCTGCTCCTAAAGAACAGGCTCAGACAGGAATTCTCATTTTGCTTTAGGGTTTTGTATGGTTTTTTTTTGTTTTGTTTTTTTTTAAGAACACCTTATGTAAATGTCTTTAAGTAAACAAAGATTATTACAATCCCAGAGGGGTCTCAGGGTTTATGCTACTGTTTCGTATCTCACAAGGGTGTTGGGCCTACTGCCAATGTTGTTAATCCATTCCATATTAGAAATCTAAAACCTCTCAGATGTATTAGGCAGCAAATCAACACTCAGCCATTCTGTGCTGGAATTTGGCTTAATTCCTGATAGTCATCCTGTTGCATGTCAGTGGTGAAAAGGCTGGGGTTTTTAAGAACTTGTCATTGGTGACTGCGAAGATTTTTAGAAATGGTGGTTTCATTAAAGCTGTACTGTTACCATCTTGCCTGTGGTGGTCAACACTGAAAAACTGAAAGCCTTATGCCGCAGACTCAGAACACCATATATTTGCCAGCATATACCACACTTCCTTTCTTTTCGGAGTATGTGGAAATAGACAGACACAGCTGATAACTGTTATCAAATGTCATATGCTGTAGTATTTGCATAGAGGCTCATAATAATTAATGAGCAGTTCAGAGGTACTGGTGTTCTTTGCATTGTTAGTTTGAAACATCTCATCACCTGTTTAGTTTTTAATCTGTCTTTATAAAGCTTTGAAAATGATGTTACAACGCCACCAACATACATAGTAAACAATGATTTGGGGTTTTTGAAGCTTGTAATCTTAAGAGGAAAGGTAGCACCTACTGATTTATAGAAGTACACATTCCATTTGAAAATACAAATGGCACAAGCAGTGACACAAGCAGTGACTCACAGGGGGCGGTGCCAGGAGGCATGGCAAGGCCCTGACTGGGTAAAGAGCACGAGTGACCAAGGCCCAGTGAAGAGGTGGCAAACAGGGCGTAGTGTGGCAGTTGGTGCTGGCAGCATGAGCAGGCAGCGAGTGGGATGGTGAGTGCTAGCCTCAGGGCCAGGGCCGTGTCTGCAAGCTCTGCTCTGGCTGCTCCAGCCAATGAGCCAGCTTCATTTGGAGCTCGGCTCAGATGCCTCTGTACAAACGCCTGTAGTATGGGGAACAAACAAGAGGAATTAGAGATGTGCTTATCTACAGGGCTATGATATAATAGGCATCATAGAAACATGGTGGGATGGCTCCTATGACTGGAGTGTTGGAATGGAAGGTTACAGGCTCTTTAGAAAAGACAGGCTCAGCAGATGGGTAGGGGGAGATGTTATTTATGTTAGGGATAGGTTGGAGAGTATGGAACTCTGTCTGGGGATAGGTGAGCAGTTAACAGAGAGTTTGTGGGTCAGGGTTAAAGGGAAAACAGTGATGGAAGACATTACTGTGGTGATTTGTTACAGACCGCCTGATCAAGAGGACTCTGTGGATGAAGCGCTCTATACACAGACAGGAACAGCCTCATGCCTGCAGGCCCTTGTCCTCATGGGGGACTTCAACCACCCTGATATCTGTTGGAGGGACGGTATAGCACAGCACAAGCAATCCAGGAGGTTCCTCAATTGTGTGGAAGACAACTTCCTTCTGCAAGTAATAGAGGAGCCAACAAGGAGAGGTGCCATGCTTGACCTCGTGCTCACCAACAGGGAAGGGCTCATTGGAAATGTGACTCTCCAGGGCAGCCTTGGATGCAGCGATCACGAGATGGTCGAATTTGAGATCCTCAGGACAGTGAGAAGAGCGTGCAGCAAGCTCACTGCCCTGGACTTCAAGAGAGCAGACTTTGGCCTCTTCAGGAACCTGCTTAGTATGGTTCCATGGGATATATAGCCCTAGAGGGCAGGGGGGCCAAGACTGTTGGTTGATATGCAAGGACCACCGGCTACAAGCTCAGGACTGTTGCATCCCAACTAGAAGGAAGTGCAGCAGGAGGGCCAGGAGACCTCCTTGGATGGATAAGGAGCTGCTGAGGAAATTTAGAGGGAAAAAAAGAGGCTCATAAAAGGCGGAAGTGAGGACAGGCAGCCTCAGAAGAATACAGAGGTGTTGTCCAGAAAGCTAGGGACCGGGTTATTAAAGCTAAGGGCCAGTTAGAATTAAACTTGGCTAGGGATATGAAAGATAACAGGAAAGGATTCTATAGGTACATTGCGAATAAAAAACACACTAGAGACAATGTAGGCCCCCTCCGGAAGCTGTTGGGAGAGCTGGCTACACAGGATTTGAGGAAAGGTGAGGTTCTGAATGACTTCTTTGCCTCGGTCTTCACTGGCAAAGGCTCTGACCACAGCACCCAAGTCTTGGAAGGCAGACGCAGGGACTGTGGGAGTGAAGACCTTGGACCCACTGTAGGAGAGGATCTGGTTCGAGACCATCTTAAAAACCTAAACATATTCAAGTCTATGAGACCTGATGAAATCCATCCGTGGGTCCTGAAGGAGCTGGCGAATGATGTTGCTGAGACACTGTCCATCATATTTGTAAAATCATGGCAGTCAGGTGAAGTTCCCGATGACTGGAAAAAGGGAAATATAACCCCCATTTTCAAGAAGGGGAAAATGGATGACCCGGGGAATTACAGACCAGTCAGTCTCACCTCTGTGCCTGGCAAAATCTTGGAGCAGATTCTGCTGGAAGGCATGCTAATGCACATGAAAAACAACAAGGTGCTTGGTGACAGCCAGCATGGCTTCACTAAGGGGAAATCCTGCCTGACCAATTTGGTGGCCTTCTATGATGGGGCTACAGAACTGATGGACAGGGGTAGAGCAGTTGATGTCATCTACCTGGACTTGTGTAAAGCGTTCAACACCGTCCCACACGACATCCTTGTCTCTAAATTGGAGCGACATCAATTTGATGGATGGACCACTCTGTGGATAAAGAACTGGCTGGATGGCCGCTCGCAAAGAGTTGTGGTCAATGGCTTAATGTCCAGCTGGAGACCAGTAACGAGTGGTGTCCCTCAGGGATTGCTGTTGGGACCGGTCTTGTTTAACATCTTTGTCGCTGACATGGACAGTGCAATTGAGTGTGCCCTCAGCAAGTTTGCCGATGACACCAAGCTGTGTGGTTCAGTTGATACACTGGAGGGAAGGAATGCCATCCAGAGGGACCTTGACACGCTTGTGAGTTGGGCATACTAAGCAGGTTCCTGAAGAGGCCAAAGTCTGCTCTCTTGAAGTCCAGGGCAGCGAGCTTGCTGCACGCTCTTCTCACTGTCCTGAGGATCTCAAATTTGACCATCATGTGATCACTGCATCCAGGGCTGCCCCGGAGCATCACATTTCCAGCCTGTTCCTCCCTGTTGGTGAGCACGATGTCAAGCATGGCACCTCTCCTTGTTGGCTCCTCTATTACTTGCAGAAGGAAGTTGTCTTCCACACAATCGAGGAACCTCCTGGATTGCTTGTGCTGTGCTATACCGTCCCTCCAACAGATATCAGGGTGGTTGAAGTCCCCCATGAGGACAAGGGCCTGTGAGCATGAGGCTGTTCCTGCCTGTGTATAGAGCGCTTCATCCACAGAGTCCTCTTGATCAGGCGGTCTGTAACAGATCCCCACAGTAATGTCTCCCATAGCTATATTCCCTTTAACCCTGACCCACAAACTCTCTGTTAACTACTCAGCTGTCCCCAGACAGATCCATACTCTCCAGCTTATAAATAGGATCTCCCCCTCCCCGCCTGCCAGGCCTGTCTTTTCTAAAGAGCCTGTAACTTTCCATTCCAACACTCCAGTCATAGGAGCCATCCCACCATGTTTCTGTGATGCCTATTATATCATACCCCCGTAGACGTGCACACATCTCTAATTCCTCTTGGTTGTTCCTCATTCTGCGGGTGTTTGTATAGAGGCATCTGAGCCGAGCTCCAAATGAAGCCGGCTCATTGGCTGGAGCGGCTGGGATATCTCTACATTGCTCCGAGCACTTATTATAGGTTCTGGCAACTGACTGGGTGCGTTGGGATGGAATGATGCCCCCCTCCCCCAACACATCCAGTTTAAAGCCTCCTTGACCAGTCTGTCAAGCCTCCTACCAAAACAGTAGCTTCACCAGCCCCCAGTAGACCTGGCCTACAGACTTGGTTCCTGTATTCAAGACACCCAAACCCCTGACTATGACACCACCCTTTTTAACCATTTATTAACCTGTCCAATCCTCCTAGCTTTTTTTAGGTCCTCCCCTGTACCCTAGAGAATTGATGAAGAGACAATCTGAGCTCCAGAGCCCCTAACCACCTCTCCCAGGCTCTATAGTGCTTCTTTGTGCTCTCCAGGCTACTACTATCTATATCACTAGTACGTGATATAGACTGGCCCACAACTTCTAATTAGCAATGACAGAAAAAGACTCATCCTATTCAAGGCAAGAAAGTGAAAAGCTAATTCAAAAGAAATACCCTGTATTTATACATATTATTAAAAAAAACCCCAAAATATTAGTAAAGCACATTTTAAAAAGAAACTTACGTGTATTAAATGAAAAGTGTTTATATTTAAACCTTGCTGTGAAAGATTTTTGTTTTGCAAAACACATTTCTTAAAAAAAGAATATGGCATATAAACACATAGACACATACATACACACACACATCTGTACACACATACTTCCGAAACCCATGAGATGTCTGTTTGAAAGATGTCAGTTCTTTCAGTGACTTGAAGTTTCTTCAAGGCAGAAAACTATGGAAGATACAGTATAGCTGAACATCTGTCTTGTCATGTAAGCAGATATTAGGATTAAATTAACTAGAAATGAATAGAATGATATATGACAGGGTGCAGATGTCCCAGCCACAGTGTGATAATTTCATTGCAAAACTATGTAATGAATTCCATACATTACAGAAACACAAATACACCACTTTAGGTAATTGTGATGAAAAGGTATAATATGGAAGGGATAAACAGATGGTATACCCAAAGGCATTTTTAATTTACTGTTGCTCTTTAGTAATTTTGAAATTAATTTATTTGGTTTACTGTAAGTCTATTATTACATCCTTTCAATTTTTTTCTCTTAGGTCTTCTGAATCTGGATTGCATGAGGAGCATTAAGGACCATTTTGTATGTCTGCTCCTGATAGATTGGTTAGCTCCTATTTTCTTTTGTAAACTGTACATTGCTGTATTACACCTAAAGCCAACATTTCCATGACTTCGGAACAAATTGGATTGATTCTAGAAGCCTTTTGGCTTTATGTAGTTTCTAAATTAGCACATGCTGCATCTGTGCTACTTGAATTAGCAGAACTGTTCATATTTTACAGCACTTTATTGGCAAATTTTCCTGTATTATTTGCTAATGGGTACTTTGGATAGTGTGTGAGATTCAGTTGAGTGCTATCAGTTTATAACAGGTATATTAAAACATGATTATATGAGGATATATTTTATAATAGGATTATTTGACCATCCTGAAAAATAAAAAAAAATCTTTTTACATCTGGCAACAGGTATTTTTAAGTGCTGTAAATAGTTAAGTGTACAACATGGCTTTCCCTCGCTGGTCTCATTTGGAGCATATAGTTACTCCACTTCCCTGCCCTCCCAAGCTGAACTGCAGGGAGACCAGTAACTGAGGGGCTACATTTAGAAACTTAGTATCTAATCACTGCACCCATGCATGCCTGTGCTTCTGAACTGCGCATGTCCTTGCAGTTTGGATTAAGCCCCATTTGAAGATACAAAATTTTAGTTCTGCTGTTAGCTGCAGATTATTTAGCTGATGTCTCACTGACCAAAAGTAGTATCAAAACATTTTCAACAGCTGTTGAGATTAGGAAAAAAAAAGCAAAATAAACTATTATTTCTTTTTCACTGTTACCATCTTGATTCATGTTTCACTATCATAGCAATAATATCTGCAGCATTAGTGCTCATTTGCAGTAAAGAGCTTCTGAGATTATCAGCTGCTTCAGCTTCAATTCAGTGTTTAATCACCCGCAGAAGATATTTATTGCCTTGCATTCTCCAATGCCATGAATGTTACCTCTTAATTATCAACCATGCCTCCAATTTTAGATCTATATTTTAAGAAAAAACCTTTAGTAATTAAAACAAAACATGGGAGTATTGTCAGCTGATTTTCTTTCTTTCCTAAAGCAAAGCAGTGACTAAATATGGCACTGTTTTTATTACCATCAGTACAAACACATGCAAGCAACCCACACATTTCAATCACTTCTGGAGTGGTTGGTTTTATTGCTAGTTTTAATTGCTTTAATTCAGTACAGTTTATATAGTGGTTTGATGAAGGTGCTAGTACGAAGTTCTAGTACATTAACATGTTAACATACTGGTTACTTACTTAATTTTGACTTGGTATCAACTTGTTTCTGTTTCAGTTTCAACATTATTATTTTCTGTTTCTTAAGCTTTCAAATGAAGTTAATCTATTTAGGGGCATATGTTTTTAAATATGGGGATAGCACAGTTCATTTTCTTATGATGAAAGTGTATTTTGGATAATAATTTTTTTTTTCCAAACAGATGCCCAGTTTACCTCACTTAAATCAACTGTATCTGACTGGACCAATTCCTGGGTGAGTTAATTGAACATGGCTAAACCCAAAATGCCGGACTAATCCAAGGAAATAGGAAGAGGTGATGACTATGAAGATTCTCAGCTTTCAGTAAAGGTATTTAGTTGTTTACTTATATTCTCACAACAGAAGGAATGCAACAAACTCAGCCCACTGGAAATAATTCTGGACAATCTCACTCCATTACTTTCAGTGAAATTGTGCCTGCTCACTCTACCCTGGTGATCCAGCAACTCAGGGAAAGAAGAAGGTAATAACTAATTCATGCAGTACAAAGTAAGTGACAGAAGGAAAGGCAGACTCAAAGCTGTATATCTTTAGTTTTTGATTTATATTGGTAGTCCGCCATTAGTGTATTAGCTTCTCAATGGCTATACTCGGCACAACAAATCAGTGTATAGGCAATGCTGTTCATTAGTATCAGGTAAATGCCCTGCTGTCTTGCACACATCGCAACGCTTTATTCATGCTCACTTTTCAGACTTAGAAATATTAGTTTAGGGAACACTGATGTGTTGTTTGACTTTTTATTCCCCCCCCTCCTCTTCCCATGGAATCCTCTTCTGAAAAACACATACTAAAAAAAAAAAAAAAAATCAGATTCTTAGATAAAAAAAGGGTAACTTTGTATTCTCAGTGCTTTGAATATACTCCTTTATTACATTCTGTGATATACTTCATAGGCAGACAGTTCATGGGACCATACATAGAAACCTATCATCACTTCAGTCTTCGTATATTAAAAAAAAGTACTACAATGGCTTCTAAAGCTGATGGTTGGAAAGGACTTTTTATGTGTCATGAACTGTATTCCAAATATTTTGGCTAATTATTAATTTTGTACATGTATAACTATGCTACTTTTGAGTTCTGCTTTTGTAAGTACAACTAAGATGGTAATAATTGATGTAGTTCTTTCAGTTACCAGTTGTTTGGTTGTTTCTTAAGTCTTTCTTTCCTAGGTTGCACATTTAAATTTGGCCTTAATTTGAAGTATTTCTGCAAACTAATAATCTCAGTTGAAACTAACTAGTATCATTACTGATGTGCAAATAGCTATGCAGCTATTAACTGACTATGCAGTAATAAATTTATACAGCATCAGGGAAAAATCTGGTTCCTCTTTCTATTGCAACAACCAAGTAAAGACTTTTGCAACTGTTCTGATGTGTGTGAACAAAAGGGGATGGTAACAAACCCTTAGCTCAAGTAATAGACACAAACATACTTAGAACCTTTGAATGGTTCCTTCTTTTCTCTTGATGGAGAGCACTGATAAGTTCTAGGTGGCACATAACATTCTTTCTAGGGCTTTTCTCTATTGGGTTTAGATCTGAAGCACAGTCATAGTGATTTGCCTGAAAAATTCACACCTTTCCTGTGCAGTAACAGGCCAATGGTCAAAAAATTAGATCAGACTACAGGAATCAAGAAAAGCTGTCAGGCATTAGACAGCTACTAAAAGTACAATTTCACATATACCTGGAATTATAATTTCACCACTTTCTGTCAAATTTCCATCTGTCCAAGGGTGAACACTCTGTCCCATTGACATGTTAATTTTCAGTTTAAAAAAGAAAAAAAAATCCTGTTTTTTTCTCTCAGAAAATAAAAATTACTTAAAATCTACCAGTTTACAGAAGCAATACAGCATGTTTGCATAGAAGAAAAATCTCAGAAACTTTCACAGTTATTTCACAAACCTACTACAGAGCAAGTGCTTTCACTATAGAATGGTTCTCCTGATAGAAAAGCATGTGTACAGCTGACTGCCTAAAATAAGAAGTCCTTGCAAGGTGAGTTTGAATTGTGCAATAAAGTTATTCTTCCTGTCCCCTAACCTTATTGTAATTTTGAAGTTTCAACAGATTTTTTTCTACAAATTAGTGCAGATAGGTCCTTATTAGAAAAGCAGAAGCAAACCCCTAAACCAGAAATCCCTACCACCTCACTCCCACCCCCACCAAAAACCAGTCCTCTCCCAGCACTTTGTTAATCAGATATGCAAGGAAGAGGCTTGCAACTTACACAGTCTGTTTTTTTTTTCTTGAACAAGGCAGGTCTACTGGAGACAGAATTAGAAAACAGCTGGCATACAGGAGGAAGAAAAAATACAGCCAGGCATTCATTCTGGGAGGTGATGGCCTGCTGGGTCATATGAGGTTACCATCTGAACAAGTTAGTGGAATCATACCCTGCATGAGTAACAGACATGTAGGCCAGGTCTAGCGGGGGCTGGTGGAGCTGGTTTAAAGAAGGGAAAGAGCAGTTTTGGTAGGAGGTTTGCCAGACTGGTCAAGGAGGCTTTAAACTAGATGCGCTGGGGGAGGGGAGCATCATTCCATCCCAACACACCCAGTCAGTTGCCAGAACCTATAATAAATGCTTGGAGCAATGTAGAGATATCCCAGCTGCTCCAGCCAATGAGCCGGCTTCAGTTGGAGCTCAGCTCAGATGTGCCTATACAGATGCCTGTAGCACGGGGAACAACCAAGAGGAATTAGAGATGTGTGCACGTCTATGGGGGTGTGATATAATAGGCATGGTGGGATGGCTTCTATGACTGGAGTGTTGGAATGGAAGGTTACAGGCTCTTTAGAAAAGACAGGCCTGGCAGACGGGGAGGGGGTGATGCTATTTATGTTAGGGATAGGCTGGACAGTATGGAACTCTGTCTGGGGACCGGTGAGCAGTTAACAGAGAGTTTGTGGGTCAGGGTTAAAGGGAATATAGCTATGGGAGACATTACTGTGGGGATCTGTTACAGACTGCCTGATCAAGGAGAACCTGCGGATGAAGCACTCCATAGACAGATAGGAAAAGCCTCATGCTCACAGGCCCTTGTCCTTATGGGTGACTTCAACCACCCTGACATGTGTTGGAAGGATGGTATGGCACAGCACAAGCAATCCAGGAGGCTCCTCGATTGTGTAGAAGACAACTTCCTTCTGCAAGTAATAGAGGAGCCAACAAGGAGAGGTGCCATGCTTGACCTTGTGGTCACCAACAGGGAAGGGCTCGCTGGAAATTTGATACTGTAGGGCAGCCTTGGATGCAGCGATCACGAGATGCTCGAATTTGAGATCCTCAGGACAGTGAGAAGAGCATGCAGCAAGCTCACTGCCCTGGACTTCAAGAGAGCAGACTTTGGCCTCTTCAGGAACCTGCTTAGTTCCATGGGATATTGTCCTGGGTTCAGCAGTAGCAGTCATGTTTCTCCTTCTTGGTGGCTGGTGCAGTGCAGTGTTTTGACTTTCGGCCTGGGAACAGAGCTGATAGAGATGTTTTGGTTTGGCCAAGGACTTTGTGAGCCTCATGCTCTGCCAGGGAGGAGGGGAAGCCGGGAGGAAGCAGCGACAGGACACCTGACCCAAACTGACCAAAGAGGTATTCCATACCACAGCACGTCATGCCCGAGATGTAACTGGGAGTGAGCCGGAAGGGCTGGGAGTCTGCAGGGTTGGAGGAGGTATCGGTCGGTGCTTGGTCGGGCTTGAGGGGGGGGTGAGTTATCAGTTGGCTGATGGTGAGACGTTGTATTCTCTTCCCTTGTTATTTCCTCTATCATTATTGTCATTGGTGGTAGCAGTAGTGCTTTGTGTATTATCTTAGTTGCTAAACTGTTCTTCACAGTATCACACAGTATGCTAGAGATTGGAAGGGACCTCGAAAGATCATCTAGTCCAATCCCCCTGCCGGAGCAGGAACACCTAGATAATGTTACACAGGAATGTGTCCAGGCGGGTTTTGAATGTCTCCAGGGAAGGAGACTCCACAACCTCCCTGGGCAGCCTGTTCCAGTGTTCCGTCACCCTCATTGAGAAGAAGTTTCTTCTCAAGTTTAAGTGGAACCTCTTGTGTTCCAGTTTGTACCCATTACCCCTTGTCCTATCATTGTTTGCCACTGAGTAGAGCCTGGCTCCATCCTCGTGACACTCCCCCTTTATATATTTATAGACACTTATAAGGTCACCCCTCAGTCTCCTCTCCTCCAAACTATAGAGACCCAGCTCCCTCAGTCTTTCCTCATAAGGGAGATGCTCCACTCCCTTAATCATCTTCGTTGCCCTGCGCTGGACTCTCTCCAGCAGCTCCCTGTCCTTCTTGAACTGAGGGGCCCAGAACTGGACACAATATTCCAGATGGGGTCTCACCAGGGCAGAGTAGAGGGGAGAGTAGAAGGCTTCTTGTCTCAGCCCATGGGAGTTGCATTCTTTTTGACTCTCCTCTCCGTCCCTCTGGGAGTAGGGGGAGGGCAAGAAGGGGGGGGGAAGTGAGTGAATGAGTTACCTGACTGGGTTTAATCTATGACAGATATATAGGCCTAGAGGGCAGGGGGCCCAAGACTGTTGGTTGATATTCAAGGATCACCTGCTACAAGCTCAGGACTGTTGCATCCCAACTAGAAGGAAGTGCAGCAGGAGGGCCAGGAGACCTCCTTGGATGGATAAGGAGCTGCTGAGGAAATTTAGAGGGAAAAAAAGAGGCTCATAAAAGGCGGAAGTGAGGACAGGCAGCCTCAGAAGAATACAGAGGTGTTGTCCAGAAAGCTAGGGACCGGGTTATTAAAGCTAAGGGCCAGTTAGAATTAAACTTGGCTAGGGATATGAAAGATAACAGGAAGGGATTCTACAGGTACATAGCAAATAAAAAACAGACTAGGGAGAACGTAGGCCCCCTCCGGAAGGTATCGGGAGAACTGGCTGCACAGGATTTGGAGAAGGCTGAGGTTCTGAATGACTTCTTTGCCTCGGTCTTCACTGGCAAAGGCTCTGACCACACCACCCAAGTCTTGGAAGGCAGACGCAGGGACTGTGAGAATGAAGACCTTGGGCCCACTGTAGGAGAGGATCTGGTTCGAGACCATCTTAAAAATCTGAACGTGCACAAGTCCATGGGACCTGATGAAATCCATCCGCGGGTCCTGAAGGAGCTGGCGAATGAAGTTGCTAAGCCGCTGGCCATCATATTTGAGAAATCATGGCAGTCAGGTGAAGTTCCCGATGACTGGAAAAAGGGAAATATAACCCCCATTTTCAAGAAGGGGAAAATGGATGACCTGGGGAATTACAGACCAGTCAGTCTCACCTCTGTGCCTGGCAAAATCTTGGAGCAGATTCTCCTGGAAGGCATGCTAATGCACATGAAAAACAACAAGGTGCTTGGTGACAGCCAGCATGGCTTCACTAAGGGGAAATCCTGCCTGACCAATTTGGTGGCCTTTTATGATGGGGCTATGAAACTGATAGACAGGGGTAGAGCAGTTGATGTCATCTACCTGGACTTCTGCAAAGCATTCAGCACTGTCCCACATGACATCCTTGTCTCTAAATTGGAGCGACATCAATTTGATGGATGGACCACATGGTTCGGAGCAATGCCAGGCACAGCTACAGGTTGGGCAGAGAAGAGATTCAGAGCAGCCCTGCAGAGAAGGACTTGGGGGTGTTGGTCGATGAGAAAATGAACATGAGCCGGCTTCAGTGTGTGCTTGCAGCCCAGAAAGCCAACCATATCCTGGGCTGCATCAAAAGGATTGTGACCAGCAGGTCAAAGGAGGTGATTCTGCCCTACTCTGCTCTTGTGAGACCTCACTTGGAGTATTGTGTGCAGATCTGGTGTCCTCTACATAAAAAGGACATGGAACTGTTGGAACAAGTCAGGGGACTGGAGCACCTCCCATACAAAGACAGGCTGAGAAAGTTGGGTCTGTTCAGCCTGGAGAAAAGAAGGCTGCATGGAGACCTCATAGCAACCTTCCAGTATCTGAAGGGGGTCTATAGGGATGCTGGAGTTGGACTCTTCATTAGGGACTGTAGTGACAGGGCAAGGGGTAACGGGTTAAAACTTACACAGGGGAAGTTTAGATTGGATATAAGGAGGAAGTTCTTTACTGTAAGGGTGGTGAGGCACTGGAATGGGTTGCCCAGGGAGGTTGTGAATGCTCCATCCCTGATGGTGTTCAAGGTCAGGTTGGAAGAGGCCTTGGGTGATATGGTTTAGTGTGAGGTGTCCCTGCCCATGGCAGGGGGTTTGGAACTGGATGATCTTAAGGTCCTTTCCAACCCTAACTATTCGATGATTCTAAGAACGTGCTTATGAATGCTTACTCATATGGAAAGGGAAAACCTTTTTTTTTGTTTGTTTGTTTGTTATTGTTTGCAAACACTGAAACACTTGCACAGACTTCTGAGGCTAGTAATAAAAATAATAAGAAATCTAGAGATTTTGGGGCTTAATTTTGGCATTTTTTTTCCTGTGTGGCAGGAACCTGATATTAATGAAGATAGGCTGCAAAGTGGATTTGTCACCATGAATGAGACTAGGAAAGCTAAGCCTTAAAAGTGAATTTCTACATGACTCTTCATAAACTAGACTGGTCATCGTTGTATGTCTGTTAGCTGTTTCATCTAGTTATTCCTGGTCTGTATGTCTTAAATAAGGATCTGCAGTCTAATAATATTTTTGATTCTGCTCATGATGCAAAAAAGCTGGGTAGCAACCATCAAGAGCTGTTTGTAGTGAATTCTTCATAAAGCTGTACATGCCATCACTTGTCTTTGTGTAGAAGACTAAGTGGGTCCTAATCCTCTGCAAACACATATTTACTCCCAAGACCTATGAGAGGAGCTACTGAATGCAATATAAGATGTCATAACTGACTACAGAAGAGCACAAAATCTTGTCATTCTGAGGGGAATGTAATAGTACTAGTTACCACATTTCTTTGTTTCTTTGCTCTGTCTTTCCTCTCCCCCACAGCAGAAAGCCAACCATAGACGTCAGGCACATTTTTCAGTAAAAATGTTGAGGAAATCAGTAGTTTCCCCCTGCAAATTTCAGTGTTGGTCAGATAGCACTGTATGACAAAACTGTTCCAGACAGGTTGAGTGTTAATCCTTAAATCCCCATGCATGTTGTAGGACCACCAAGTTCAGTATGATGATTTGTGTCATTAATGCTATATATAAGCATAAATCATAGCAACTGACTTGTGGCATCTTCCCCATATGGCCTGGCCTGGCTTCTCTATTACAGCAGGAACAGGCATTAATATCTCTGTCAGCTAGCTGTGAGACAAGAGCCTTATTTTCACTGTGACAGATATGTCACCTCACTATCCAGCAGGATTTGTGGGTGCTCAGTAATGCTAAAACTATAAGCCAATGAATGTTTAATGTGCTATTAAA